TGTTTCCAAAAAGATCTTTTACATTTGTTTGATGTATAATAAGATTCAGTCTTGATCTATGCATAGCTTTTGGCTGTTATGTTTTGTTTCCTATATTTCTTTGAATCCAGATTATTCCCTTTTTCTTTCCCACACATACCTTTTCTTTTTATCACATTGTTCATTTAAAGAGGTCATTTGTTATGTAGAATGTCCCCAATTCTGGATTTGTCTGATTGCTTTCTTGTGGTGGTATTTAACTTGTTCTTCTAGCCCCTGTGTTTCCTAGAAATTAGACATGAAAGCTAAAGGCTTGATTAGAATCAGGTTCAACAATTTTGGCTACTATATATCATAGACCATGTTGTTTATTTTCTATTGTATCATGCCAAGATTCTTATAATGCTTGTTTATTTAATAGTGATGTAAATATTCATCACTGGGTTCAGTTGTCGTAAGCCTGATGACTTCATTTTCCCCTTGTGACTCACAACCAATGGACTGATACCTTGTTACTTTGCAAATATTCCATTGCCTGTCAACTTTTCACCTATTATTTTTAGCATTCATTGGTAATCCTTGCTGTACTCATTTTTTTTGTTAATGGCTAAAAATTTGTGACTTTCTAATTCTTTACTCCTGTTACATATATTAACGAATTCTTTGATAAAGGAAGAGCTTTCTTTTTAGCTAGAGTTGTTGTATTACTCTTCATTGCAGTTCTTAATAAAACATAATATGAAGGTTTAATTCTTTCGGTTCAACTCTTAAAATCATAATAGACATGTGTAACAAAATCTAAGTTAATCAGTATCTCTATTCTTTTCCCCCTTTTTTTGAAATTCAAAGACCTTGGATTTGTCTTGCAATTTTTGTCAGGGTTTTAATTCTATCTTCTTTTGTTTTTTTCCTCAAATCAAGCTTCATTATTACTGATTTATGCAGTCTGTCTCTATTCATTGATATTTATCAACATGTTAGCCAACCTCTTTATCCCCTTCTCCTATTTCCTTCTATAACCTGTGACCATTTTCCATGTTCAGGAATGTCTTTTAACATTCTCTTGTGAGAGGCTTTTGATGGTAAACAATCTTAGTCTTTGTTGTTCTAAGAAGGAAAATAATTTTCCTGAGTTTATGGTTCTAGGTTGACTATTGTCCTTGGCCTTTCCAACCCATTCTGAAATGGTCTCCAGCCTGCCACTCAATTCTGTGTCTCCTTTTGCGGGCTCCCTGTTTCTGTAGTTCCTGCTGCCTCCTTTGTTGTTGTGATTATTATAACTCCTTCATTTTGCTGAAGTGCACTCTACAGTGGCATATTAAAACAAGCATGTGAGGTAAATTTTTGGAGCTCTTGTATGTCTGTAAATATCTTTATATTACCTTCACATGTGATTAGTAATTTTGTGTATAATTTGTCAGCCATGGTTCCTTAAACATTTTGAAGTAATTGTCCTAAAACTGAAAATCCTTTTGATGCTTAATTTGTTTATGACCTGTATTTTTTCTTTGTTAGAGTGGTTAAACTCTTTAGTTTGCTTTGTTTCTCCAAAATTTTATTATGATAGGCTTAGATGTGGGTCTTTTTTATTTACTTAAATCAGGCATTTGGTGAGCTCTTTCAAGCTAGATGCTTTTGTTTTTATCTGGATTTTTTGTGGGGAGGGACATTAGTTCTTTGATAATTTTATTTTTCCATTTTATCTATTTACTTTTTAAAATTTGATGTACAGTCTTATTTTAGTTTCAAGTATACAACATAGTAGTTTAATAGTTACCCATATTATTAAATCCTCACCCCCACTGGTACAGCTACCATCTATCAATATAGGGAGATGTTTCAGAGTTGTTGGCTGTATTCTCCATGCTGTACCACTATCCCCATGACTAACCTACATTTTGATTGAGAATTTTTGTGCCCCTTTATCCCCCACACCTTCCCCTCCTACCCATCCCAACTCCTCCCCCATGGTAACCTTCAGTCACTTCTCAGTGTCTATGAGTCTACTGCTGTTTTGTTAATTTTGTTTTGCTTTGTTTTTATATTCTGCAAATAACTGAAATCATGTAGTATTTGTCTTTCTCCTCCTGGCTTATTTCACTGAACATAATACCCCTTAGATCTATCCATGTTGTTGCAAATGGCAGGATTTCTTTTCTTTTTATGGCTGAATAATATTCCATTGTGTATATGTACCACATCTTCTTTATGCATTCATTTATTGAGGACACTTAGGTTGCTTCCATATCTTGGCTATTGTAAATAATGTGGTGATAAACATAGGGGTACATATGTCTTTTCAGATCAGGGCTTATGTTTTCTTCAGGTAAATTCCTAGAAGTGGAATTGCTAGGTTGACTGGTATTTCTATTTTTTTTTTTTTTTGAGTAACATCCATACTGTTTTCCACAGCAGCTGCAACAATTGACATCCCCACCAACAGGAGGGTTCCCTTTTCTCCACATCCTCACCAACACTTGTTATTTCTTGTCTTTTGGATAGTAGCCATTCTGACTGGTGTGAGGTGTATCACCTTGTGATTTTGATTTGCATTTCCCTGATGATTAGCGATGTGGAGCATTTTTTCCTGTGCCTCTTTGCCATCTGTATTTCTTCTTTGCACAAGTGTCTGTTCAGGTCCTCTGTCCATTTTTGAATCAGGTTATTTGTTTTTTTGATGTTGAGGCCTATGAATTCTTTATGTATTTTGGATGTTAACCCCTTATCAGATAAATCATTTATGAATATATTTTCCCATACTATAGTTTGACTTTTTGTTCTGCTGATGGTGTCCTTTACTGTACAGAAGCTTTTAAGTTTGATCTAGTCTCAATTGTTTATTTTTGATTTTGTTTCCCTTGCCAGAGATGTGTCCATGAAATAATTGCTTATATTTATATTTGAGAGATTTTGCCTCTGTTTTCTTCTAAAAGTTTTATGGTTTCATGTCTTACATTCAGGTCTTTGATCCATTCAGAATTTACTTTTGTGTATGGAGTCAGGCAGTAATCCAGTTTCATTGTCTGTCCAGTTTTTCCAACACCAGTTATTGAAGAGACTGTCTTTTCCCCATTGTATATTCATGGCTCCTTTATTATATATTAATTGACACCAATATGTATATTAATCATATCATATATTAATTAACCCCATATATGTGCAGGTTTATATCTGGGCTCTCTATTCTGTTCTGTTGATCTATGGGTCTGTTCTTGTATCAGTGCCATATTGTTTTGACTACTGAAGCTTTTTAGTAGAGCATGAAGTCAGGGAGCATCATTCCCCCAACTTTGTTTTTCTTTCACAGGATGGCTTTGGCTATTTGGGGTCTTTAGTGTTTCCATATGAATTTTAGAACTATTTGTACTAGTTCATTGAAAAATGCTGTTGGAATTTTGATAATACTAATTCTTCCTCTCCATGAGCATGGGATAGATTTCTACTTATTTGTGTCTTTTTAAATTTCTTTCATGAGTGTCTTATAGTTTTCATAGTGTAGGTTTTTCACTTCCTTGGTTAGGTTTATTCCTATGTTTTTTATTCTTTTTGATGCAATTTTAAATGGAATTCTTTTCCTGATTTCTCTTTTTGCTAGTTCATTGTTATTATATAGGAAAGCAACAGATTTCTGTGTATTAATTTTGTACCCTGCAACTTTTATGATCCAGTTATTAATTCTAATAGTTTTTTGGTGGAGTTCTTAGGGTTTTCTATTTATAATATCATGTCATCTGCAAATAGTGATAGTTTAACTTCTTCCTTAACAATTTGGATGCCTTTTATTTCTTTGTCTTGTCTGAATGCTATGGCTAGGACCTCCAGTACTATATTGAATAAAAGTGGTGAGACATCCTTGTCTTCTTTTTATCTTAGAGGAAAAGCTTTTAGCTTTTCACCATTAAATATGTTGTTAGTTGTAGGCTTCTCATATATGGCCTTTATTATGTCTTATATGGCCTCTATGCCCATTTTGTTGAGAGTTTTTATCATGAATGGATGTTGAATTTTGTCAAATTATTTTTCAGCATGTTTTGAGATGATCATGTGGTTTTTATCCTTCTTTTGTTAATGTGGTATATGATATTGATTGATTCACCAATATTATACCTGGAATAAATCCCACTTGGTCATTGTGATGGATGATCCTTTTGATGTATTTATGAATTCTGTTTGTTAATAGTTTGTGGAGGATTTTTGCATCTATGTTCATCAGGGATATTATTCTGTAATTTTGGTTTTTTGTAGTGAGTTTGGTTTTGGTATTGGAGTGATGTGGTCCTCATAGAATGAGTTTGGAATTACTCCCTCCTATTCTACTTTTTTGAATACTTTAAGAAACGTGGGTATTAGCTCTTCTTTAAATGTTTGTTAGAATTCACCTGGGAAGCCATCAGGTCTTGATATTTTGTTTTTTGGGAGTTTTTTGATTACCAATTCAATTTCATTGATGGTAATTGGTCTCTTCAGATTTTCTGTTTCTTCCTGGGTCAGTCTTGGAAGGTTGTATTTTTCTAGGAAGTTGTTTGTTTCTGCTAGGTTGTCTAATTTATTGACATAATTTTTCATACTACTCTCTAATAATTCTGTGGTATCCACTGTGACTACTTCTTTGTTTCTGATTTTGTTTACTTGTTTACTGTCTCTTTTTTCTTGATAAGTCTGGCTAGAAGTTTAACTATTTTATTTATTTTCTCAAAGAATCAGCACTTAGTTTCATTAATTTTATCTATTATTTTCTTCTTTATTTTATTTATTTCTGCTCTGATCTTTATTATGCCCCTCCTTCTACTAACTTTGGGTTTCATTTATTTTTCTTTTTCTAGTTTCTTTAATTGTGAATTTAGTCTGTTTATTTGGGATTGTTATTGTTTCTTGAGGTAGGCCTGTATTGCTATGCACTTCCCTCTTAGAACAGCCTTTGGACTGTCCCATAAATATTGGACTGTTGTATTTTTGTTTTCATTTGTCTCCATGTATTGCTTAATTTCTGTTTTATAACTCTCTTTTGTTCTTTCTCTCAGACCCATGTTGGCTCCTATTTCTTCCCAGCCTATCCTTTTGAAGCCTAAGGCAAGCCTTTTACCTGCTGCTGCTGGTGGAGCTGTCAGTTGCTCTTCTGTCTATTCCATTCTCTATCCTGTCCTCTATTTGGAACCCAATGATGTCCACAGAGAAGCTTTACTGGGGATCTAGATGCAACGGCCGTCTCTTCTTACTCCTCATTTCTCCTACTCCTGCTTTTGTCTATGTTTTGAAGACCTCCAGGCCATTGGGGATATTTCTGTGGAAGAAAACATGATGTAGCGTTCTTTAGTGGCCCTCCCTCTGCAGGGGGCACACAACCACAGTAAAATAGATAAGGGAAAAAATAAGTGAGAATGTTCAATTTTCATTCTGAAGAAGATCATTGATGACAATGAAGAGTAACTAGTGATTGATAAGCTTTAAGGAGGAAATTTCATGCATATTTTTCTTCAAAAACAATCCATCATCACGACAAGCCATGACACTGAAATAAATTTGAGACTAGTAATTAAGCACAAATTTCTAAGATAATGATCCAACAAAGATATAGTACAGAGATAAGGAAGAATGAATCTGGGCAATGAAAGTTGTGGCAATAAATGATAAAAATAATAAATGATTCAAAGTTCTTTGGATAAATACAGCTGTATAAGAACAAGTGAATAACATAAAGTAGATTGTACTTCTGTGCATGAGGAGATGTCATAAGCTGTTAACTCAATTCATTTCAAACATATATTAGGCACACACCAGGGACAAAGCTCTGCTCTAGAATTTGTGGGGACCTACAAAATAAATAAGACACTGTTAAGGAAAGGAAGAGTTCCTGCTGTTTTATAATCATTTCACTCCCTCAGATTATACAGTTCTTGTATTGTACCCTGTGTTATGTCCTCATTGGTTTTGTTCCTTCTACGGCCCGGCCTAGGGGTAGAATTTCTTACTCTCTCTGTATGAAATGTGCATCTGCCCTGAAGAAGGAGACAGGAGAAGAGAGGCCAGTCCCCAGCCAGGAAGCCAGAACACAGAGGGCTCTCCGAACTGAGCACCACAAAGTATTTAGTAATGTCTCCTTTCAATGTCCTGGCCTTATTTCACCTGGGCTCTGAAGATACAAAGAAGGATCTTAGCTCTTTGCAAGCAAAATGTGGTCTCTGGACCAGCAGCATCAGCATGTACTTGGCAGCTCAGTAATGCACATTAGGTCTCACCTGGACCTTCTGAAAGAGGAACTAAAGGTGGGGCCCAGGGACGTGTTAAACCTTCCAGGTCCCTCTGATGCTGGCTCACTGTTGAGAAACACCAGATTGGCCTGAGAACTGAAGGGGATCAGCGCCCTCTGGAGGCCATGTGGTTGCAGCTACCAGGGAAAAGGAGCTCTATTCAGGTGCAAGTGATAGAAAACTCTGCTTCTGATCCTTTTTTAATTTTTATTTTGGTATCATTTGTTTCTGTTCCTTTTTATTCCCAGCATTTAGCACAGTGACTGGTTAAGAACAGGTGAATGGAAAGTGGTTTTAAAATGAATAAATCAATGAATATAACTCATAGTCTAGTTACATAGACCTAGCTGCTGTCCCTAGAACTCCTAACTCCGTCTTCCTCCGTACAGTCCCTTTAAAGGGATGTGAAATGCCCTCCCACGTCCTTCTCTAGCCTCTTAAAATCCCACTCTCCTTTTAAGATTCCCTCATAGTGGTCACGCAGTAAACATGTGGGGGTGAACTGCAGAGTATGGAATGTGTATTGAATCAGACTGTCATCAACTGGCAAGTTTACTAAGTCACACTGTTCTCAGGGCAAAGTGCATACATGATAAAAATAGCACAAACAATAACAATAACATTAGTCCATAATGCTGATAGGTTCTATTGAGTAGTTCATGTCATGCACCAAGGCTTGCACTAAGAGTAGTAATGTGCTTTCTCCTACCGCAAGCCAGTAGGGAAGAGATTGGCATTGTTCCAACGTGGCAGATGAGGGAACTGAGGCATAGAGAGCTTAATAATTTTCCCAGGATCCCCCAATCAGTAAATGGCAAGAACTCTAGAGCCCACACTTTTCAACACCAAAATCCCCTGTTGTTTATTGAATGAAAAATACATACAGGAGCTCTATACAAATTATTTATGACCCAGCCCTAAAGGTGGCCAGGATTAGCTTCCTCATTTTGGTAGCTAGCAGAAGTCAAGAATAAAGTAATTTCCCCAAGGTCATTCAGTGAGCTGCAATTCAAATTCAGACGTGCCCAATGCCTGAATCCATGCTCTTTGCTTGACATTTTGCTGCCTGTTAGGATCTCCAAGGAGGACCCCTCTATTCAACTGGATTGAATAGCAGGCCTTCACCTATCTGAAGTGTAGTGCTCAAACCTTGGGGCAACAGTATTTCAGGTGTTGTTGTTATTAATCCACTGAGGCTCTGGAGTCTTGCTGAGAAGAGAATTTAAGGAGCAGGACCCTGCCATAAGTCAGAACCAAAACTGTAGCTTCGAAACCTAAAGCTATAACTCCTTCCACAAGGAGCATCTGGATGAGTGACAACCACTAGACAATGAGGCAGGTGGGTGGAATGACTTCAGAGGAACCTCAGCCTTTACCCATTGCAACAGACCTGCTAGCCAATATTATTTATTTCATGTTTTCTCAGGGACTTGACCTATTCAATACTTACTAACTTCTCATATCTTCCAAAAGGCAGGCATTTGGTGACTTTGATTTTTGGACAAGAGAATTCCATGGTCATATATGCATACAAATTCTCCACCTCTTAGTTTTCTGAATAATTTTTCACATCCCTCATTAATCTTAAGTGTTTCTTATGGTTGTTTTCCAACAGTCAAATCTTTCCAAATATATTGTTAAATGTAATTGTGTATATGTATGTGTTTGATGTTGAAGGGACTATTTTATAATGACTATGGTGTGCTATTGCTGGATTTTTTATTGTAGCATTTAATAACCATGAAATGTGTACAGAAACAACCTTCTGAAGTCTCAAGTTCAGTGCTGAGGTAATTTATTTTAGACAATAAGGTTACAGTATCATAGACCTTTTGAGATCTTGGTTAAATTGTTATCTATATTTAATCTTGCTATGTATATTTAATTCACTTAAAATTTCTACTGCCTATTTTTCGAGAGCTTTCTATTTTTATGAAAAGAACTGAAATGGAGCTTTAATACGGCCTATTTTATTCAATCTATTTTGTCAGTAGTAGCATTGTCCTGAGTAAACTGTAACAAAAACCAAACACTTTATGAACATTACCTGTAAGCCTATGATTATGATGGTCTTTTGGGTTAAAGAAAGGATTTCTGTCCATGGGGCACAGAATTCATGAGGTTTTGCTATTTCTGTAGATTATTACTTTAATTAATATTCAAGGATGACTCTGCCAAGTGCAGCTTGGCAGTGAGGATAGTTAATGGCCCCAGGATCAGTCTTCAGCAAGTTGGGGATGGCAGCAAGTGAATAAATGCTGTAGCTTCCCATCCTTCAGGTGGACAATTCTACTTTTCATGAGGTGCAGGAGGAATCAGGAGAGGCGTGACATTGACAGAGCACACTTGTATTGGCTTTTCTTTCTTGCCTAATTTACTTTCCCTTCTTTGTCACTCTCGTTTCCTGGAATTGCCTCACAAGCAAACAACCTGCACTCAAGTCCTAGTCTTTCATTCTGCTTTGGGGGTGGGGGGTGTCTAGACTAAGACGTTTGGTACAAGAATTAGCCCTAGAAAGCAGACCATTAGAACAGGCTTCTGGGAATGTCTTACTCATGAGATGCTGGTGGTAAGTGGGTGGTGGTAATCCTTTGCCTGCTATAGCATCACCATTGCATGAACGAAGGGGAAACACTCAGTTGTCCAGAAGCTCGGCACTTGAGTTGTTTTATGGGGCAATGGTAATCATAAAGCTGATGGAGTTGTCTGGATATCTGCCTTAGAATCTTTGAAGGAAAAGAATTGATGCAGGTCAGTCAACGATTAACTCAAGGCAAGCTGTAAAAGCCAGAAGGCTTGCTTGGCAGCCTATGAAGAGAGTCTTGCCTCTTTCAGCTATAGGGCAGCCTGTGCTAAAAATCAGGTTTAAGATTTAATAATAAGGTGGCAGGGCTGGAAAAAACACTTGAATATGCAGCCCTTGAACCCTTCCCCATAGTCCTCTGAATCCACCTGGCTGGCAGAAGCAACAGTTCTTGCTGGAGGAGAGCGAGCAGCCTCCCTTGCCTGACCATGCAAAGACCTCACCTGAGGCAGCTGTGTTGCAAGACGATGTTTGTCCTCAACGTCTGACACTCGCATCCCCACCCTCCAGCTTATTGCCTTCAGACCAATAGCTAGGGTCAGGTCTCATCATAGCTCAAGAGGGGGAGTTAAATACCCGCTATGGTAGAAATTAAAGTATTCACCAAAAGAACTCCAGAGCATGGCTAATATGTACTGTACAGAGCCAGGGGAGCATGTGCAGGAATGGATTTTGAGGGTACTGGGATTCGTGAGGGGTGGAGGAGCAGAATATAAAGCTGGATATGAGGAGTGAAATGATGCTGGAGCATCTTCCATGACTCAGGATTAAATACCCCAGCAGAGAAACATGCAGCTGGTCCCACTATGCTGCTGGGATGGCTCCCTGAAGCTTGAGTGTGATCATAACCTTCAGCAAATGAGGTGGAGATGCCAGAACTGATGTGGGAGCATAGGGAGGAAGGGGTCAAACAGCCCAGAGAGGTGAGCATCCTAGGACAGATTTATTACCTAAGACAGAGAGCCACCTGCTGACTCGGTTCTCAGAGAGGGCCCAGAAGGTACTCCTTTTATAAAGGTGATAAGGAATGCGGTGAGGGGCATCAGAATCGACCACTCACTGGTGCCTGTCCTTGGGGGCTGGCACTAACAGTAGGTGCTATTGAAAAATAATCTTCCTAATGTCAGTGGGAATATTAAGATTTCAGAAGACAGAGGCAGGTTGTGGCATGTAAGCCTCAGATGTAAGGTAGACAGAATTATCCTAGTTAACAGCAAGGATGGTGCATCAGGCAGAGCACTTTGGGGTGAAGGGCCCTGTAAGTGATGGCTAATGCACTGTGGTGGTGTTTGGAGTGAGACAAATGGGTCACCAAATGGGGAAGTGCTTGATTCCTATAACCAGAAAAAAAGGAGTAATTGGCTAGCAAAAGAACAATGCCAGTTTCCACTATAAATAATCTTTCTCCCAGTTTCCTTATTTGAATAGCTCTCAGACCCAAAGCCCATCCTTTGAAGGGAAGGATGGGTCCCTGGGGGTAGGCTTCTGCAACCCTCCAGCAAGTATAAACAATACATATGCCTTCGCTTTTTCCCCGAAGAGAAGCATACACCGGGGGAATTTCTATGGGTGCTGTCCACATAGATGCAGGGTCTGAGCTCAAAATCTGAAAGGCTACCCATTATATTCCTATTCAACTGCATGACCCTGACAAAACCCATACAGTTTGTGGAAATAAAGACTTCAACACAGGTAGCCCCACTTGTGGCTGCTGTACTGTATGTGGCATCTTACTGTTCCATATCTGCCACTTGGAATATGGCTATTAGTCTGCGGAATGCTTCCCCCCCGCAACCCCCACCCCCCGCAGTTCTGTCAGTAAAAGTGATTAAAAGAGTTCACAAGGTGGAAAAATCAGTGATGCACATTCATGGACTTGGACCAAGGTTACATTAACTCTCCTGGTCACTGACATGAAATACTCTCCATGGACCTTGATCATCATATT